GTCCCTTGAAGTGTGAAGTATAGAATTTTCACTGTTGTTAATAACTAGCCTGTCAACCAAGTTTTCATTTCCTCTGTACATCAATTTACATAACAGTTTTCTTTCAAATTTGTAAGTGGTTAGGTTCATTTTTAGTTATCTATTATGATTAAACTTCTAATGTTGTTACCTGTGGTCAGGTTGTATGCATCGTGTTTGGAACTTTTCCTCTTCTTGGGAACCATTGAGATTTTATTTATGGACCAGAATATGATTTGTTTGCCTAACAGTTGTGTTTAAAATTTATATCCTATGCTCATAGGATTAAAAAAAATTCAAATCTATTTAGTTCATTCCATTAATATTAACACCCAAATTCTCCATATATCTCTATTTATTCATTCTATCTGTTTGTTTATTTGTTGTTTGTTTACATATTTGATAGAGGGCCTCATGTAGATGTAACCAACTGTCTTATTAAATAAGAAACACAGAACCAATGCAAAGAAGAAAGCCAGGAGATCAGAGCTAAGAGCCTTACCCATCTGCTGCAGCTAGCCTCTTCAGCCAAGAGAGACCTCCTTCCTGAGTGTTTGTCTTTATATAGACTTTCTGTTCTGCCTTCTCATTGGTTGTAAAACCAACCACATGACTGCCTTGTCATTTCCTGTCTGTACAGACCTCCAGATCTTCTATGGTTAGTATTGAGATTAAAGGCATGTGTCTCCAATGCTGGCTGTATCTTTGACCACACAGAAATCTACCTAGCTCTGCCTACCAAGTCCTGGGATTAAAGGCGTGCATCACAAACACCCAGCTCTGCTGTGGCTTGCTATTAGTTCTGACCCCCAGGCAACTTTATTTATTAACATACAAATAAAATCACATTTCAGTACAAATAAAATATCACCATAGCCTCATGTAACTCAGGCTAGCCACAAACATTGTATAGCCAATTGCCAAACTGGATTTAACTCCTGATGCTCCTGCTCAATCTTCCAAGTACTAGGATTGCAGATCGAATCATCTGTCAATCAATGAATGGCAGACTATTCATTGTATCCTGAACTAATTTCCATTAAGGTCAAAGTCTTGTACGTACATTACTAAGATTCCTTTGTGTGTACATGTACGCAACACATGAGCAATAATCTAAACACGTAAATGTCTATGTGGAGTCCTGGCTTATTCTGGCTTTTCATGCCTTTCATGTTTGTTTGAGAACTAAAATCCTTGGTTTTGTCCTTTTTTGTCGTTATTGAGGCTTGAATCCTCTCTCTCTCTCCTCTCTCTCTCTCTCTCTCTCTCTCTCTCTTTTTACTTTTATGAACTTTGATATTTAGTTTAAAATCTGACGCTTTATTTTTCTTCTTTTAGTCATTTAGTAGTTATTCATCCAACACCCCTTTGCACGTCCATATCTTTTAAAGCAATGTCTAGCATGAGATGTATCATAATTCATCTTCCCCTTTATCTGTAACTGAAACACTTCCCTTCCTTCCCTGGCACTCTCCCCAGTTTCTGTTGATATTCAGAGTTTTAGATTTAGATTATCATATTTAAACATTTTAAATATACATCTCATTTCAAATAAAGGACTTTCACATAGGTAATATTCTTCTTGGAATTAATTATATTTTACTATTCCATGGTTTATTGCCTCATTGGCTTATGGCTCTGCAACCAGGACCCAGGGTTTCTGAGGGATCAGTCCATGGCCTCTTGGTTCCATGCTCTTTGGAACAGTGGGGTGAGGGTGGGAAGATGTGGCAGAAAAGTGTCTCAACTCTTGGCAACTGAAGGCAGAGGGATCAGAAGGAGCAGAGACAAGAGACCCCTAACAACCTGCCCTCAGTGACCTTTTTCCTTCTTCTAGACCTCACTGTCTAGAAGTTCTAGAACCTCTTCAAATAGTTCCTAACTCCCCCAACAATTCATAAGCCCTCATGGGGATACTTCACATCTAACCCATCCCACCAAGAAACAATCTGATAAACTGGCTGTATCATTGTCCTCCCCCTGTATTGTAAGAACTGCCCATCCCTGTAACACATCGTTCTCTGCCTGCCAGCCAGCTCCTAAATAACAACATGGAAATTTGTTATTAATTATGAAAGCCCGGTCTTAACTTAGGTTTGTTTTTAACTAGCTCTTATAACTTAAAATAACCCATTTTTTTAATATATGTTCTGTCACACACCACCCATCCTCCTTCCTCAGTGTCTCCTGGCATCCCTGTGCTCCTAGATTCATCTCCTACTTCTCTCTCTCTTTCTGCCTGGAAGTCCTGCCTGTATCTCCTGCCTACCTATTGGCCAATCAGCTCTTTATTAAACCAATCACAGCAACATATCTTCACACAGTGCACAAATATTTCATAACACATCCAATTATCATTTGTTTTTTACAGAATTCTGTTTTATCTGATGTGTGATCACATGGCACACAGTGTAGAGTCTGTGACTTCAGTGGAATTTATCTGTATTCCCCTATCACTCCCAAAGACTTTTGTAAGATGCAACCATGGTGCTCAACTAAGAAATATCCATTACAGGAACGTGTGTGTGTGTGTGTGTGTGTGTGTGTGTGTGTGTGTGTGCTTTATCCTGTTATATTTCACAGATACTTCACTTTTGTGGTAACTCATCCATTGACCATTTTCTAAAACTTCATGTGACTGTGGTCATTTTCAGAAATATAGAATTTTAAACTAAAAGATATATCTGATACATCTTTTTATAAACAATGCTATATGACATTCAATTATAGTATAATGTATATGCAAATTTTATAGGCATAAAAAAGCCCAAAATGCACATGTCTTGCCTTATTGTGACATTTTCTTTATTACAATGGTCTGGAACTAAGCCTACAATATCTCTGGGATATACTGACATAACTTTTAAGATTAAAAAATTAATACTGTAATAATAGCTCCACTTTACTACATATTGCCTGTACTTATTACAGAAGTCTAGACATAATTAACCAGAAAAGATATCTTGTATCCTATTTTAACCTAGACCAAGAGTGAATTTCTCAGGTGAAGGATATTACCACATGAGTGTTAAGCCCAGATTAATTTTAATCAAATGAAAGTATCAAGAGAGCACATGCTTGATAATTTTAGTAAATATACTTATTGTTGATTATACAACAACAACAACAAAAAAAAACTGTGGTTTGTATTAACCTGTCAGGAACAAGAATCATGCATTCATTCATCTGTAAGAGAATGATCAAAGTCTCATTACTTCAAAATTCCCACTCCCACACCCTGGAAATGTGGAAACAGACCCCTGGCCACACTGCAGAGAGCAGTTAAACTCTGAAAGAGCACATGATGTCTGCTGTGCTTCTGGCACTAAGAAAAGTATACATACAGGGGTTAGAGGTTTAGCTCAGTGGTAGAGCACTTGCCTAGCAAGCGCAAGGCCCTGGGTTCGGTCCTCAGCTCTGAAAAAAAAAAAAAAAAGACAGAAAGGTGTACATACAGAACAAAAGGCTTTGAGACAACAATCAATATTTACAAGTAACTGTTGAGAGACAAAACACAGGTATTCAAGGTAATAGGCAGTCAGTATTCCCCTTGCATTTCTTAGTATTCTAGAAACCGTGAGCAGATTCATTCCTAAACTACACCTTTTTATTATTATTATTTATTTATCTTCTTCGTAAGCATGTCCAGGAAAGGAGAACTGCCTACCTCTTGGCCCTCCCTGAACCCAAGATCTCAGGCAGACAGACAGGGTCTGGCACAGACTATTCCAATCAAATGATGATAGGCTAATGAAGGAAGTCTTCCTAGGAGCTGCTCTGCTACCTTTTACATCACCTGGAGCCACCTGGCAGACGTACTCAAAAGTGCCTGCCAACCTGTTTCCTGGCGGACTTTTTCCTCCCCCACATTCTGTGTCTCCCACTTTCACTCACTTCCACTGAGAAATCATTTTCCGCGGGCTGCATGCTAGACCCACATCTGGTGTGCTGATTCCCCTGGTCTGGCATTTCATGGTGCTTAACTGTTTAGAAGTCCTCTGAACTCTGGCTCACACTGCTTTCTTCGCCTTGGTACCCACCCTACCCCCACTCCTACTTCCAGCTCCCATCACCTTGGCTGTGTCTCTAACACTGAGTCAGGGACAGGGATGCAAGCAGGACTTTAAAGAGAAACATAATGCTTCTTTCTGAGTTCTAACACCACCCAGGAAGTGGGCACCTCACTTCAGACCTCACACAGCACACTGTTGTTCTCTTTCTCATAAGACTAGACGCTGGACTGCTTGGAGAAGGAGACCCTGGCTGATTCATTTCTGTTTCCTCTGCCTGAACAGGGCCACTAGTTCATAGTAAGTGCCAGTAAATATTTGCTCAACAAATGTAAACTGAGGCTGGCTCACCCCTCTGCTGCTCTGTGTTCTGATATTCTGATTAAGTGTCCCTTCCCGAAGACAACTACTTCTGCTGGTCTAGGAGTCTGGGGTAGAAACTTGAGCAGAATCACACCCAGCTTCTGACTCTTTTATTGCATTTTGGGAGATGGAAGGCCAGCTCAGAGCTCTTGCTTTAACTCAGTGAAATTGGCTTGCTGTTACCACTCTATAGTCCAGTTAGTCTTTATAACTGGATAGGGAAATGTTTATTTTATAATTATCTGGCTACAAGGCACTATTCAACATAAGTCTTTTGAATAGGCAAGGGGACTTTAGACTAGATGATGGTAGTTATGGAAAATCCAGAAAAAAATTGAGATATTTTGGTATACTAATTAATATTTGTTTTGTTTCTATTGTTCAATTTGTAGCCAACATGGGACTCCAGTATTACATTGGAATGGCATTAAGAAACTACTCTACTGAAGCAAAAATATAATGAAATATGCTACCTACCAGGAATAAATTATTTTAGTTTATAAAAATTTACAAAAATATTTTGACTGATGCTTGTTTTAATGGAATAGGTTCATAGCCCTACTTCAAGTATTAGAGACAATAACTATTTTCCATATCTTTTCTTGTTAGGCTGTGAAGTGGAGATTCTTGGTGTCAGACCAACTTACTGCCTAGAATATAAAACCGTCCCAACAGATATCAATTTTGCCGATGCAGTCAGTGGTGCTCTTGACTCACTAAAGTAAGTGTCCCAAATCTTTAGCCATAACGTTGTTCTTCCTTGTTTTTCTTTTAACAAAGAGATTATGTGTGTGTGTATGTGTGTGTGTGTGTGTGTGTGTGTGTGTGTGTGTGTGTGTGTGTGTGCATGGACACACACAGTGGATATAGGTGTTTGCAGAGCGGAGTTAGGTCCTGTGTAACTGGAGTTACAGGCAGTTGTGAGTCACCTGACATGGGCGCTGGGAACCAAATTCTGGTCCTCTGAAAGAGCAGCAAGCACTCTTGACCACTGGACAATCTCTCCATTTCCTCTGCCTTCTTGGATGAACAGCAGGTCCTACAGTGGTCTGAGAGAGCTGGACCTAGGTGTAATAATATCTCAGCGAGTTGTATGTAGTGATTGTTAGGTGAGAGTAGAGTGGACTGTAACTGTGAGCAGCGTCACTGTTTGCAAATGGTGAATGGGATGCTAGCAATCCCCAGGACTCGAGGACCTTCTTCCTCTGTTGTTAGACTACAGAGAAACCACATAAGTACCAGAATTTTCACACTGATGATTTACTGAGCAGGTGTATTTCAAAGACATCAGGGAGTATTTGCATTAAGGAAGGATCTGTGACCAGATGTGTTTGGGGAAACTGCCTTTTCAACACTCTTGTTTGAAATGTACAAAGCACGTTGCATATTAGAACAAGGAATGGCTTTGGTTTTGCTTAGTTGTTTTTGTTTGTTTGTTTGTTTGTTTGTTTTTCTCTTGCACATGAACAATGACACAGAGTGTGAAACACACAAGATTTGGTTCCCATCCCCTGAATAACACATAGGTCTGTCAGGGAACTGATTACCAAGTCAAAGATAAAGCCTCAAGTCAACTGGAAGCAGTCAGGTCACAAAGATAGGGGGCAGCTGAACATATGCTTTAGAAATCAGGAACGAGGAGGTGTTGGGGGCTCCCATTTTTAGAGCTGGACTTGAGGTTTTTTTTGAGGTCATCTTGGTTGCTGAATGGGTTTCCTATGGGGAGTCAGAGCAGAAGACACAGATAGAATCAGAGTTTATAGATTGGAGCAGGAAATTCATCATTCCAAAAGAGCACGGTTTCCAGCCAGGAAGTGAGAGGTCATCCTTCCTAAATCCAGTTCGTGAATCACCGGCACCAAACAGTGATGGCTGGCTATGATTGGGTTTGTCTCTCACACAGGTGACCAACTATATATTACATTCTAAGCTGCCTCAGGTACAGAGATGAGCAACCGGGTGAGATTACCTCCTAGTAACTCAAGTATCTATTTAGTAGTGGGATCTTCCTCATGGTGTAAGATTACCTCAGTACAGAGGTGACTGATCATGGATGGCACACTTTCACTTCTTTTTCTGCCCCAACCTTCAGAGTAAATGATTGCCACTCCCACAGGATTATCAAAGGAGAAAACAGGACCCCATCCTATGCTGATTTTCTGACCATTCTCCCTGTGGGAAATCTATAAAGAGGGGTCTTTAGGTCACAAAATGCTTTAGCATGATTGACATGCTAAAGAGAAAATGGCTTTAAATGTTAACCATCAAGAAGAAACAAACCTATTCATGTCATTTGATTCTGGTGGCATTTAGAGGGGACAGAGTTAACTTAAGCAAATGTTCTTCGTACAGTTTATATATTATGTGTGTTGTGTGTGTTATATGATGCTGCCTGCTACTTCATATGCCTTTTTTTTATTTCTTGCCCACAAGAGCTAGAGAGCCATGTGCATGCAGAGCTGGTATATTGTGTTGCTGTCTGGTTAATGCAAAGCAGACTGCCACAGCACCCAGGGCAGATGAACAGTGCCAGAACTTCAGAATTCCTCTGTGTCTACTCAGTCTTACTTCCAATGTATTCCAAACCCAAGTGCTATCCATCCCTATATCCTACTGCCATGGGAGACAGGAGAGTTTGGGTTGTAATTGTCACATAGATACCTCCAAGTAGTCGGACAGTCTGCTTATCAGTGTGCTTGCATATCTCTCATATTTATCTTGTGTTTGGAACTGAATGGACTCTCTTTGTACCCAACCCAGAGGTCACAGTAAAATCACAAGGAATACTATGAGAGCTCCAGGCTAGTGATCATCAGTTTAAGCAGACATTCTTATTTTCACAACACCCGAATACTGGAGGAATAAAAATTGGGTTCTGTTTCCTTTAGAGAAGCATTGGCTTTGTGGGTTTTCGGGTTTTTTTGTTTTTTGTTTTTTGTTTTTTGCCTTTTGTTTTTCTTTGTTAAGCAACACGACAAGGTAATAGGACTCTGGGAGATGCATCTTTATCTTGGATATAGGGAAGATTTTCTGATTGTTGCTATAGTTCCTGGTGGTAGGGGTAGGATGTGTGTTCATATTTGGTAAAGGGATTAGACTCCTCTAGAGAGAAAAGGCCGCAAAGAACTGCAAGTCCATAGAATTGGCTTCAGACTAGGCTTCCATATGATATGATCTGGTGCTCCACATTGCCCAACTCAATACCATTCATGTGGCGGGTAGTCTAGGTGCATGGTCTTGAACTCTATAGTCCAGTATTTTTCACCTTTCCTAATGCTGCAACCCTTTAATGTAGCTCCTTATGTTGTGGTGACCTTCAACCATAAAATTATTTTCATTGCTACTTCATAACTGTAATTTTGCTACTGTAATGAGTTATAATGTAAATATCTGATATGCAACTCTTGAAGAGAACAGATTGAGAACTGCTGCCATTCACATGGTCTGCAATCTAGATGATGTCTCTGGATTTTGACAGTATAGACCTGGACAGGATTGAGTAAGACTAATGCTCTTGGGGTTGGGAGGCAGGGTCTTCATACTGCCAAAGTTAACCAGGCAGCTAGAAACAACCTCTTTAATCGTAGATAGAAAGATCATTTCTGACATGATCCCAGGTCCTTTCTGTTTATGGACTGACAGAGAAGAGTAGAGATGCAAAATCCTGCTTGTTGTCTCTAAGCTGGGTAGTATTTGGAATGAGAGAGAAAGGAAAGGCCAGATGATACTCCCCCAGGAAGGCAGTGGGGACGACCTGGGTCCTCCTCCAGGAAAAAAAAAAAGACAAACTTTCTTCAACTTTCATTTCCTTCTTACAAAGCAGACTAAAGACTAATGTTTGTAAGTCAATACTTTTATTCATACAAAAATTAAATCTGTCCTCTTCAGGAATGAAGTGGTCGATAGTCTTAGCCAGATTAGAACAATCTAGAGCAATCAAGATTGCTTTGCATGTAAGAGCTTGTGCACGAGCATGTGCATATGGCACAAAGGAATCTAATTCTGTGGTAGGTATGTTTAGGCAAAGCTGTGGAATGATTTAGCTTCCCATCAGATAGCCCTGCCTGCCACTAAGGTTCTTTAGGTTTTCTCTATCTCAAATTCCTAATTATAATTTGAGGAGCATTTGGAAATTGCCACACACAAGTGCTCAAACACACACACATACATTGCTCTGAATCTGTCTTGTGCACAGAGTTCAACTGCCTTTCAGAGAGAATGGACATGGGACAGATAGGACAGAACCTAAGAGAGATCATTAAGACCTTGCCATGCATTCTTACCCAGGGGTGTTTCAGCAGGAGTCCGGGCAGATCAAGGGGCTTCACATGTCCAGACAGGAAGAGATGAGCCCACACTTGTGTTTGACCTGGGCATTGCCTTGCCCTGCCATATCCTTGTAAGATGCTACCTTTGAATTTCGATGACTTTTTTTTTGCATAGAAAAAGAAGATTAAAGAAAAGGTGTCATTTTCAATATCAATAGCATTGGAACAAAGGGCTTTGTTTACATGGACCCATGTTGCTCTTTATCTACCGTGGGGAATGATGAGATGTGGGTATTGATACATGGAGAAATATCAAGAACATTGAGAATGATCAAACTATAACTTCAGGGTTGTTTCCTCCATCAGAAAATTCAAATTTTATTTTTATCAGGTTTCTGCTAGTTAGCAGCTAAGTTTACAGAACCTGAATGATAACCACGAATGAAAGACTTTTAAGAAAGTGTATTGGACAGTGTTCCAAGATGATACTGAAGGGTCACACTGTCATTTCAGGGCTCTTCTTTCTAAATATTAAATCATCTTTCTTAACAGTCAATAACTAACCATACTTTTAAATTGCTTCCATTTCTCTGTGCCCAGATCCTCTCTCTTCCCAGCCTACTTCAGTAAGAAAAATGCATATGACATTATGAACTCTTTATATTGCAAAGCAATCTAGACAGAATTATAAGGTGAGGGGAGAATTGGGTGTCCCTGAAACCCTAGGGTTGGAGGCCCCCTGCAGCTTTCTGGGAACTGGGTTTGATGGCCACATGTCCTTCTGGCATGGTTCCTGAACCTCAAAGCTATAAATGGCCAATGGCAGACATGCAGGCATTTTTATCCAACTTGCCTCACCCAACCTCATAACAAATGAGCTGACCTGTGATAGAGACCAGACCCACATCGGAAACAGCTGGCTACCAAGAATTTATCTGCTAAACTCCAAACAGGCAGGAACTGTCAGCCCTGGGAGACTTCAGTCCCTAATGAATCAATGAAACCTTAGCACAGAAACCTCTCGCATGTGTATTCCTTGTAACACAAGCACCCCAAATCATGTGTTCCTGGCATCTAAGGTTGACAGCTTCCTGAAACAATGCCATCAGGTAAATTGTGACACTCTCCAGCTTTCTGAACCACATGGAGATTTTCAAATGTGATAAACAGCCTTGGAGAAACCAGCCTATACTACAGTGCACTACAGATACACTGCAATACAGTGGGTATTAAAATGAAGGGAGCTGGGTGTATTCCATTAAACTCCAATACCACAGTAAACCTCACTTTATTAAGACACCAATGCATTAAGTGGGATTTCCCACCATATCTAGGGCCTGTGCTGGAAGTGTGGCCCCCTAAACAGATGATATAGTGCATGACCCAGCACATCTGGAATGTCTAAGAGGCCAGTCCATAAAGCAGATAAATGTGGAGGCTTATCTCCAGGACAGGTTTTATGGAAAGCTTCCATTGTGTTCAGATGCAGTGATGGAGGAAGAGGCCAGAGCCCTCCCAGTCATGGACCATGAGCGAGTTTCAGCGTTTGGATGAAAATCATATTGCCTAGTACTGACTTCTCCCTACCACCTACACACTCATGGGGCCCTAGAGGGACCTTTTGTGCCTGACTGTGTATAGATGCACAGGAGGTTTGAGTTAGTCATCCTCACATTAGAGAGTGTGAATAATGATCATACCATTTGTGAGAAAAATCTAAATACTAACATAACCCAATCCATACTGTGGAGGAGGGTGGCAATGGGGCTTATTACTGAAGGGTCAGTTTGTTTTCTTCTAAAAAGAGAAAAGAACATCTGACTAACAATTTCACTTCGCTTGAAACCAGCGTTTCCTCAGAGCTGTTAATGATATGCACCCCAGAGTGTTCTCTAGAACATAAGGACATCACTAAAGGGTACGGGACCATAAGGAAGAAGATGCCAGGCAGAGAATACTCTTTTTTTTTTGAGAATACTCTTGAATCTCTCCCCTAGTTTAGAAGATAGAGTAGACGTGGATGGACTTTCTTTCAAAGGCCCAGTTTACATTTCCAAGTTCCAGCTTTGTCTCAGAGAGATCTGCCAGGGAGTGAGAAACTTCTAGAACCTTCTGAAGTCTGCTTCTTCCTGTGCAAATCAGGAAATGCTCTTTTGTGAGGACCATTTTCCCAATAGCTCCAGGCCTGAAAATGAAGTCAACCCATCGACACAGAGCACCTGGGTGACAATGATGGTGTCTCCTGGTGTTACTTTTGCCCTTCCTCTGGGAGTTGGTAAGGTGTCATAAAACACCAGCAATTTCCAAAGTTCACTCAGGCTGGGTGGAATGGTTCCCCTTTATCATGGGCTGTTGACAGATGCTACAACCAACACAGAACCCAGCCACAGTCAACAGCCCCCTTGGCAGGTACTTGTCACTATACATCTATCTGACACCTGTAGGGTGTTTACTGTGTGCCAAATGCTAGGCTTGAGCTGAGAGACATGAAGAACGAACCCTCATTCCTGATGTGAAGGGATCTCTAGTTTAGAGAGAGAAAAGTACACCTAAAAGGGCCCAGAAGAGAGCATACAGTCATAGGAGCATGATGCCATGTGCCAGGGCCACCTGATCTAGCCTCAGGACACCAGAGGAAGCTTCCTGGAGGAGGTGACGACTTTCACAGATCTGAAAGAAGGGTGGATACTGTGTCACTCTGACCAGGCAAACCAAGCTCTCTAAGCATTACGAGGATGCTTATCTCTTGGGGGACAGCAAGACCCTAGGTGCTGGCAGCTCTGAGATCACACTCTTGTATTGCTCATGCTGGGAAGACCATTTCAAGGGAAAACATGATGTGTTACTGTGTCTGTGTGTCTGTGTCTGTAAACAGATGTGCCTAAAACAGCATTTTTCAAGAGAAATAAGGCAAATTGACGAGGATATTAATACTTCCTCTTGTACAGGTCCAAGCAGAAAAAAAAAGATCACCTTTCATTTCTTTTCCGTTGCCTCATCTGGAGGCCATCATACCATCTTTACCGCCATCAACACCACTCCAGTCTATTTTGAGTGCTTGATGGGAAAATAGGCAAAGTCAGAGCTTGGGGAGGGGGCGCCACAGTGGAAAGTGTTGTGTGAAGGACGAGAGAACATTTCCTGGAATTCTTCCTTCTCTCCATAAGCTATCCGCTCTTCTTTATATCACTAGCTTCTGGCCATCCTTAGGCCAGCCTTGGGGGTTAAATGGTTTGGATTTTCACCATCAGTGCTGACCCTGGGGGTGTTTTGGAGTTCATAAATGTACAGCTTACTTTTGGGATTACTCTGTGTCTATAGGAGAGCTAGCCTGTCAAAGATTCCCATAGAGCCCATGGCTGGTGTGTGTGTCTGCAGATGGTAGATCCTAAGGATTCATCTATTTACAGCTGACAAAGTGGCTGTGTTTTCACTGTTGATATTCTTGTCAGTCAGACCCACAATCTAGCATTTTATTAGGACTCCCTTCAAGTCCAGTAATAATTATACGGTAGTTATTTAAAGAATTGCCTCCACTTTCCTGACTTTCCAGTTCCAGCAGGTTATGAGAAGGGAGTTATAAGGACTATGCTCTGCCTCATGCGACATCTTTCTATTTTTGCGGCCATGAAAAGCAATACAGTCTGGCCAGAAGAAGAGGTGACCAATAAAAACACTCTTCAAATCTTGCCATGAAGCTGCTCAGGACTAGAAACCTTGCATTCAGTATCTACCTACCTTGTTTATGTGGACATGTGGGTTTTGACTGGTCTACTAGGCAGGTCCCCTTGGGGGGTTCTCACACCTTCACAGAGGGTCAGTGGGTCCTAAGGGAGCAAGCTGCCAGAGGTCTCCTTCAGCTGCGGTTGTCTCACTCTGTCCCCTCCAGGAGTGGCCGAGCTGATCTAGCAGCCATATACTACGAGCGCATCGATGTGGAAGGTCACCACTATGGCCCCTCGTCGCCTCAGCGAAAAGATGCCCTCAGAGCTGTGGACAATGTGCTGAAGCACATGATCCAGTGGATCCAGGTGACCCAAAGCAACTGATCTGGCATTTTCCCCTGTCACCTCTTATCATCTCCATGACTGCCGTTCCTTCATACTTCCTTCAACAGTTTCTTTACTAGGCTCTTTTCTTCACGGAGTACTTTTTAGGGCACCAAGCGACTCCTTATTCCATGGATAGTCAGTGGGATTTAACTCATCCAGATGTGTGTTTTTGCCTGGCTTGACTAGAGAGCTGGCCTGGTTTGGAGTAATATTAGTAAGTCTACTGACCAGTTTAACCTGGACATGGCGGTTAAATGTGGGTTCCAACTTTAACAGTCTCCGTTCTCCTTTAATCAATAGCTTAAGCACACATCTTTACAAGAATGTTTGTGTGAAAGGATCTTTCTTCAATCACTGTGGTGACTGCTCGTGTGTCCCCCCCACTCCCCCGCAGGAACGAGGCCTGCAGGATGACCTAAATGTCATCATTTTCTCAGACCATGGGATGACTGACATCTTCTGGATGGATAAAGTGATTGAGCTGAGCAAGTACATCAGCCTGGATGACCTGCAGCAGGTGAAGGACCGAGGGCCCGTTGTGAGCCTGTGGCCAGCCCCTGGAAAACACTCTGAGGCAAGACACACCGTGGTGGACGGGAGGTGACCTGGCCCCATTGGCCCCTCATCGATGCTTTGTCTTATTCCTAGAGTTTTCATAATGAACTATGTAACAGGGTAGGCGCACAGACTTTGGGATCAGATGACTGAGCTTGCCATTCACTTACCAAGTGACCTTTATAAAGGCCATTCATTTTCTATGTTTGTTTATTCTATACCAGTATCTACCTCCACTGAATTTAATGAAAATTAAAAGAGATAAACGAGACTCCATACTTTGCAAATGCCTGGCACATGTCAGCATGCCCTTATTAGGGCTCTTTTATTGTTGGACAGACTATGGAGGGGGCTGCTAGAGGCAAGCTCTTCAGAATGAAGTTGCCACTCTGATCTGCATCCGATTCTTTTTCACCAAGCGGGGCTGGAGATATAAAGCTGACTAAAGAAGACAGCCTAGGCCACGTGTGTACAGTGGGTTCATCCCTGACTTTACGGTCACACCTCTTAGGTTCTGATCCCAGCTCTGTTATCAACTGTGTACAAGGGAATGGCAAGTCTGGCCCTTCTGCCTTCCACACAGAAACACGGCAATGAACGCTATCCTCAAATCCATGGGAGTACACAGAAGCAGGCTGAGATCACAGCAGAGACTATATAGATGTGCCACTTAGGAAGACCGTCATCAAACAGGAGGGTGCCTAGGAGGGTGTGCTCAGCTTCCTACAGTGTGCAGATGAGGAACAAAACTCCCTTTCAGGAACTCAGGACCCTGTGTTCACCCTCTCAAAAAAATAATGAGGGATGGCAGTGGATGGTAAGAATAAGGAGGAATGAGTGCCACTCTTGGTTGACGACGGAGTGCTCATGTTGCTTCCTCACCTTCCAGTGCATGGATGCAGCGTCTGTCCACCCCCAGGGGAGCTAACGTGGGCCAGGAAGCATCTATGTTTCTCAGTGGAGGGGACAATGCCAGCCACAGGGCAGGCAGGAGGAGCCTGGGTGCCGCTGCCTTCCTGCATCCTCATGGCTACAGAACAGTTGCCTGTGAACATTAAGCAGAGGGGCCTGGTGGAAGCGATGGTCCTTTGGCCCAGAGCCAGCCCCGCCACCACCTTGCTTGCCCTGATTTGAGGTCTCTTGTCAATGATACCACCGCTCTCTCAGCCTTTCCCCATTCACTAGGGAAATGCTCCCCCCTCCCCGCCACCGCCATGTTTTTCCTTGAGCTCCACAGCCAGAAAACGAAGTTTACACAGTGTCCCAGCAACTCCCTAAATATGAAAACGGAAAGAATATGTTACACGTTGGCAGGTTCTTGGGAAGCAACTTCCCTCTTCCTGGCAAGGAAGAACATCTTTGTCTCCAATTTGGCACTTAGGCATGTGACACCTCCAGAATGCTTGGGCATCAACACTCACACGAGCTGAGAAGAGCATCTTCCAGCAGGATGCGCATCCCAAACACTGCCGTCAGCCAATAGCAGTTGGTAATGGTTCAACAGTGGGGGCTGTGTTTGGTGACAGCTGTGTCATGTGATGGTCACAACAATCTGCAGGACCTGTTGTATATCAGCAGATTTTTCACATATTGGAAATAATTCTGCATACATCATTTTTAATCAAATAGGGGAGGTTAATTCACGAAGCTATGAACAACTTTCTGCTCAGCAGCCCAAAGACTGTTTTTAGGGTGTGAGTGAATAAACACAATTTTATTATAAAGGAATACATATCTGATTTGGTTGGTGGCCAGCAAACCAGCGTCAGCAGGTGGATTTTAATTTTAGCCACAAATATTTAAGTTTCTGCTAAATATTGGAAGTGTGTATAGACTTTACATCTTCATTATGGAACTGGCAATGTGGTTCATAAACAGTTCCTCATGCTTTTAAGATTCATGTATGGGTAGAATATAATCTCAATGTCAACTTAAAGAGCACGTATCTTTTCTCTGGTTTTGGTGGTATTTAACACCAGCCGGCTGCTTTCACAATTGCCATTTAATTTTAGTGCATAGAATTTTGACAAATAAGTTTTGTGATGTGTTCACCAGTCACTGATTATTTATGAAAGAATATATATATATATATATATATATATATATATATATATATATATATATATATATATATATGAAAGTGTGTAAGCAGTATAGGAGTATAGGATAATGTTGCAGTGGTCACCTCATCTTTGAGAGAAGTAGCATGCTGGCATGACCTATGACATTTCCTGAAAGTCCTTCCTAGATTCCATAAGCATTTTACCCTCTCAGAAAAACCACTAAGATGTAACCATTTATCATAAGGTTGTGTGGTTACTTGAGTTTCATGTCATAAGAATCTCTGTGGTATTTTCTACAATTTACATTATTTTTGCTCCGGCTGAGATCCCTGAGTCTTCTGTGCGTCTTTGCAGGTGTGGTGCGTCTGTCTTTACTGTTCTTTCTGGTGTCTGCCCCAGAACTGCACCAGTATCTCTATCTCTCCCCATTATCTCTTCGCTCTCTCTCTTCTGCTCTGTGTCTGGGTTATTCTGTGCATGCACTACAGGTGCACACACACGAGAGTTTTTCATTATATTCCCTAGGGGTCCATCTCTCACATCAGAGAGCATATCAAACGTCTCTCATAGCAAGATGTGGTAGCATACACCTTTAATCCCAGCACTGGGGAGGCAGAGGCAGGCTGAGCTCTGTGAGTTCAAGGCCAGTCTGGTCTACACAGTGAGTTCCAGGCCAGCTAAGGCTACTTAGTAAGTCTTCTCAAGGAACAAAAGTATCTTATTTTAATGTAGCTAAATTCTCTCTCTCTTATATACGTACATATATGTGCATGTATAGGTATATACACATACATATATGTATACACACATAGATATCCTATCTCACAGATGTAACATGAGTGTTCAGACAGCTCATTCTCGGTTTTCTTTGCAGATATATCACAAACTCAGCACAGTGGAACACATGACTGTGTACGAGAAAGAAGCGATACCCAGCAGGTTCTACTACAAGAAAGGGAAATTCGTGTCTCCTTTGACTTTGGTGGCTGACGAAGGGTGGTTCATAACGGAGGTGATTATAAAATCGGTGCCCTTCCCCTCATTGTTCAAATTCTATCCACAGCCCACAGGTAAGTAACAATTATTGAGATCTTTTCACGAGGAGTCCTTTGCGGCACCGCTTCCTTGTTTAGAAAAATCAAAAGGCTGGACCGGACGCCTAGGAGAACACAGGCTTCGGACACAAACCCAGAGTCGAGATTTAGACGTCATGGCTCCACATACTCTGTATTGTGATAAATTGGCCTTAACTCAATTACTCAAGCTTCCACACAGCCTGTTTAGCTTAAAGCAGGACAGTTACTGTGATCTGAAGCCATTGCTCCAGGGCAGCGGAAAGCCAGGGGAACCCTGTGCTCCCATCTTGAGAGAAATGTTTAGGAAACAGAACTGCAGGGACCCAGGCCCCCAAATTACCAGCTGGTTTTTACAGCAGCGATTATCTTTCCCTTTGGGCCCGAGCCCTAATGTGCCTCAGGCCTGCCTGACTTCCTCCTCCTTGTCCTCCTGGGCTCCAGGCTCAGCAGAATCCATGTATGATATTTAGGAATGTCCCACCTTCCAGAGGAATCTATGATCACACTGAGAATCCAGTCCATTCTGGAAGGGAGCATTCTTTCAGACCTGAGTTCCAAGGTGAGCTGTGCTTGGCTCAGACTGCAAGATTAAAGGAGTAGTAGGTGGCTGAAGCCTGTGATGCCTAGGACTCCAGGCAAATAACATGCTAGAGGGAACCGGTTCCTCATCAGTGGAAATGGGCATTTGGGAGAGTGGGTGGGTGACCAACAGGCAGGCTATGAAATGAAAGGGCTCTGTGACATGAACATCAGCTATTGAGCAAGACTGCGTTATTCCTGGGTGTTCGCAGAGAGAAACGTTTGGTCACCGTGAACCGAAAACAAGGCAGATCTGGTTGAAACCACGGGCAACAGAAGGCAGAGGCCGGTGAGGCTCTGCTGAAACTGAATCCCCCTTCCTCTGCCATGCCGTTTAGAGTCTCTAAGGTGGATGGATGCAGAGAGAGGAGGAGGCCAACCTGGGCTCCATAGGAAACCTTCAAAAATACCTAGAGACAAAAAGGGTTTCAAGAGACTCCTTCTAACACCACCACTTCCGGGAACTAAGATGTAACTCTTTAGTTTGTCAGCCTGTTCGGAGTTCACATGGACTGAGAGAGAATATTTTAAGCTATGACTGCTATGGTTTTTGCACACGTGGGAAACCCCCCCAGCTGGCCGGGCCAGGGTATCGCATGCGTGCAGGGGACTAGGCTGGGCAGATGCTGGCGGGTAGCCCATTCCCTTCGGGCATGGCGGCGGGGTGGTGTGTGGACATTCACAACGCAGATGCTACATCTGTATGGAGAGTTTATTATAATAGAGAGATAAAGAGGCAGAGAGACAGAAAGTGGGGGAGAGAAGGGGGTGCACACCTTGTGGAAGGAAAGCAGAAGGAAGGGGCAGAGTTTTTCCATCTACATCAGGACGCAGGGTGGCCCCAAGGGGCAGGTCAGAATATTAACAATAACCTTGCCATGTACCATTATCATTCTCTCTCTCTCTCTCTCTCTCTCTCTCTCTCTCTCTCTCTCTCCCTCTCTCTCTCTCTCTCTCTCTCTCTCTCACACACACACACACACACACACACACAATAATATAAAATGATAATAAGAATACAATCGGTTTCATTCACACATTCATATTCATAGTCTGTAACATACAAACACACATGTTTCTCAGGGCCCTCTGTGGAGTACACAGGCAACCTGGTTAGAGGCCCACTGACCTCAGTCCATCCAGAAAGACCTCCCAAGTCACAGCAAAGAACTTACTTTTTTGTTTGTTTGTTCTTGTTTTGAAACATCTCGCATTTTATAAAATTCTGGGCAAACTGTTCTGAATCTCTGGAGGTCGGTAAGTTGTGAGGATTAATCCACAGTGGTCTACCACTGGTGTGTTAGCACGGCTGGGGGCATCTGCCATTTGCTTTCTCATGTTTAGTTCAAGTGCTGAAGGGCTGAGAGGCTACAGCGTGGGGGCTGGGGAGACTGACAGGCTATGGGGTGATTTGGGGTACTTTGCTGGAAACGGGTAGGGGTGGCAAAGCCAGAGATCACCATGGAGAGGGTGGACAACTAGTGAGATGCCACCACAATTCTAGTGGGACATGCCTTGGGTCCCCACAGGGGTGAACAGGCACTATGAAACCATTCCAGCTAGGAAGGGAAATCCTCTGATGGGGGGATGGGAGATTCCCTCCATTTTGGCAGAAGTTCTTCCCATAAAGGAAATATGGTACCCTGTTGTAGACCATTCAGGAAAAAGATGTCTATCTTCTTGAGGGATGCAAGCAATCTTGGGAGACCGGAGGGTTCTGGTTAAAATGTGTTGGGTTGTAAGCCATGAGGCATTCACCTTTCTGTTTTTATTTTTGGCTTCTTGAAACAAAGTATTGCTAAGTTTCTCATATAGCTTTACTCGGGGAGTTCACTCTCTAGCTCAGGCTGGACTCAAATTCACCAACCTCTTGCCTCAGCCTCCTGAGTATTTGGACTAAGGCATGTGCCACCGAGTCTGGGCCACAGGCCACTTGAACAATGGCTTCAATAATGATTTGCCATCTCATTTAACTGAGTCTGGAGACAATCAGCTCCATGGTTGCTTAATCCAGAAACTCAATGAAGTCAAGTCCCTGAGACAGCTCTGTATAATTCTGCTTTTCTTTCAAGATCACAAAATAGTTTCTGTAGCCCCGTCTGTATGGCCTCTCAAAACACCCCAAAGCAGGAAAGAAATGGTGTGACTTTTCACTGCACATCTCCTACTGTTATGGGATATGGGTATATATTTCAAAACTAGAGGAAGAAGCAGGTATGTGGGACCCTGAAGGTTATGGAATGCAAGTGGGGAGGGCCTCTCTATAAGAAAGGGCATGTAATTATGAAGATGAGGTCTTAAAAAAAACCCCACATACCTAATAAGTTCTTGTAGTGAAGTTTCTTTAAGGACCATGAAAAGCTGCCCCTGTCTCAAAACTATTAGCAACTTCCCCTAAGGTTTTATCAATCAACTGGTTGATGTGGCTAGAAAATTCCTGCTTAGGGTGAGATTTGCTTCTGAGACTCACTGAACTGCAGAATCTGGAACCTCAATCACAAAACCAAAGAGATGCAGAAGCTGGGGTTAAGAGACAGGGGCCTCAAAACAAAGCATTACAGAGGCGGGCGGAGGGCATGGCACGCCATTTCTCAGGAGATCAGCAATCCACTCTAGGATGCCTGGGACTGCCTGAAAAAGCCTCCTCCTGTCCCCAGCCTTGGGCCCCACCCATCCCCACACCACACGCAAGGGAGCTGAGTCATGCTTCCCTGGATGAAACCGGAAAATTATTATCTTCTCTTATATGGTTACATACACTATATTGTATATTACTTTTGTATGTACCACACACTTTAATTTAAGTTATTAAAAAGTAAGAGTCACCTGTTAGCGAGGATGCCCAAGTATTTCATGATGTGGGCTTAAGAACAAAGAAAACCCCATTAAAAAAAAAAGAATCCACACCATGGACAACCACCTGAACAGTTTTTAAAATCTATAATTAGGGCTGGATATATATATAATATATATATATATATATATAACTAGGGCTCAACTAGACTGCTTGCCCTGTCATGTAAGCCTTGGGTTCCATGCCCAGCACCACATAAACTGGCCATTTCGGCACACACCAGCTATCCCAGCACACAGAGGGAGAAGCAGGGGGAGATCAGAAGTTCAAGGTCATCCTTGACCACATCGGAAGCTCCAGGCCTGCCTCAGATGCATGAGATCCTGTCTGGAAAAACAAAAAGGCCAGGAAAGAACACGGGGAAGGAGGGAGGGAGGGAGGAAGAAAAAAGAAAGATTTCGCGAGAGAGACTTGAGATATTAAAGATAAGTAAAACAGGAGCCGAGCATGGTGCTTTTAATCTCAGCACTCCAGAGGCAGAGGCAGGCTGATCTCTGTGAGTTTGAGGCCAGCCTGGTCTACAGAGTGAGTTCCAGGACAGCCAGGGCTGTTACACAGAGAAACTTTGTCTTGAAAAAACCAAAAATAGATAGATAGATAAATAAATAAATAAATAAATAAATAAATAAATAAATAAATAAATAAATAGACAGACAGATAAGTAAAACTATATATATAAACTATATATATAAATATATAAAATTGGGATGAGTGGGAGAGAGATGTTGGAGGCAAGAGTAACCAGAATGCATCAGAATGTATTGTATACATAACAAAATTATCAAAGAAGAAAATAAATAAAAGCTGTAGAATAAGAGAAGACAGAAATAAAAATAAGATAAATCAGACATGAAAAAATAAGACTAGCTCTGAAAGATGTGTGTTGACCCACCCTGCTTAACCAACAATGATGGAACTACACACCAGTTCTTATTGGTCATGCCTGAGTCATGCATTTTGAATGGCTCCTTTCCCAAAGTTTCTATGGTGTACACTTACAACTATTTAACCTTTTTATCAGATAATAAATATATCCAGGGCAGAAAATGAGCATCGGTCAGTGATAACAACTAAAAACCAAAAAAATCCTGAGCTAATTGCCTCCTGTTAACTCTCCTCATTTTGGATTGTGGGTACCGTTGGTCCTGAAGCGACGCAGGGAAACAAAAATGGAAGACGATATATCTCAGGGCTTCTCAGCGCAGTCAGTTTTACGCATGTCATTTATGGTGTCTGTCATATGTGAGCACCTCTTTCTCCGGAAAGTCATCATCATCTGTGTCCTGAGAGAAACTGGGGTATCCCTGTCATTCATGTTTGTGCCTTAGGTTCATAGCGTGAACCTACCGTGATCACTTTATTCCTGTTCTTGAATATATACCTTTTTATTTCCTGGATAGCATATATAAAAATTTCAAGTGCCGATCTTACTCTAACACTGAGGAGTCGTTTTCTGAAAAGTCCGAAAAGCAAGTGAGTGTCTTCCGTACCTCTATTGACTTT